AATCCTCATTAAATTATACTAAGTTTGAGAAGGGATTTTAAATTAAAGTTAATTGTAAAATTCCTAAGGCCTCCATTTTTAATTTGTCGGTAAATCAATTAATTGCGTTTATGGGCTCCCCCTCGGGTGACATTTGTAAAATTAATTGTAGAAAATTACCAGGACAAATTTCTAATATTAAACAAGTTATACGTTCTGTTGTTCTGCACTTAGATGGAGTGGGTCGTCATCGGGCGAACCGAAGATCACTCTATCAGTTACTTGCGAATAAGAATAGTTGTTCACAACCTAGATGGACATGAACACTCCATCCGAACGGTTGTAGTGTCAACTGTATAGTTTGTCTTGACTGATTAGTTGCACTAGTACATTTATGTATTGAACAGGATCCCAGAGAGGAGAAGTTCATTTTATACTGATCGTCGTAAATGAACTAGGCCTCGGTTAATTACTGCGTTCTCTTAACCCGTAAGATATTAAACATGCAGATATATATAATATATATTACTTTGATTCAGATGGGTGAGGTTCAGTTCGCTGGATTAATATTCCTACTGTTTTGGGTAATATTATTATATATAGGATGTGTTGTTAGGATATTTACGGTGACCATGTGCGTTAGTTTGATGATGTCCCCGAAGTGAGTTCATTAAGGATTGTTATGCTAAACCCTGCAGGTGGATTAAGTTCCGACATAATAAGAATGTGATGAACGAGCGCTAGCTTCGGTGAAATAATAATAAATTAATTAATTCTTGATTGTCAGTAATTGAATTAAGTAATTGACATTATATCTTAAACGTGGGGAGGTAAATCGAGTAATTATTATTGGAGTCTCAAATGTAATTTGGGCTAGGAAGAGGGAGTGCAATAATATAATGTTGGTGGCCCATTAATATTATTTAATTAATTAGAGGAGTGGGCTTGGCCCACAGTTAGTCTAATTAATTAAGGAGTCATTTTCCTAATCTCCTTAGGGTCCCTACTGTAGCTTTATATATACATCATTAAGCTCATGAGAAGGGAACATAGTTCACATCTCACGTGAAACACGTCTTTCTCTCTAGATCTCATTCGAGCTTTATCTTCTTCTTGTTGCTCCACTGGTACAAGTTGAAGAAGGGTGTATTGAGTAATACAGTAGAAGATCTGTAGGTAAACCGAGACGAAATATATTTTGACCTACAGAACTAACCGGAAGTCCGATTGAGACTTACAGTATACCCAGATGACCGTCTCGATGAGAGCTTTCCATCGCCGCCGATGTCGCCAGAATCCGACGCCGCACGTGCTCTCACCCGCCGCCGGAAGGTGCCTGGCAGCAAAATCTCGTTTTGATCTGTTTGCATCCGTTTGATCCGGTTTTTATCTGATCTTGTTCGTGCAACCCAAGACGTGATTTGCGGTCAATCAATTGCGGTCAACCGTTCGTGGTCAGCCAGATCTACATAAATTTTAAGCCGTAAGTTCTCTACGTCAAACCTTTAGATCCGCTGCGTATAGGTTTACATTGCTATTGAATTCGTGATTTGTACATAACGAGATCCTCACAGATCCCAACAGTTTGACCCTACATAGAAACAGCCACCTGAAGTACTTTTCCTATCATCAAGATTTTCGGCCCAATCTGCATCGTAGTAACCTGCAAGATGTAGGTTCGTATCAGCAGAATAAAATAACTCATGGTCAGATGTACCTCCGACATATTTGATGATGTGTTTGACTGCCTTGAAATGGGATTATTTGGGAGCAGCCTGGTACATGGCACAATGTCCAACACTAAAACAAATGTCAGTTCTGCTGGCAGTAAGATACAAAAGACTACCAATCATAATTCGGTAAAGAGTTTGATCTACAGATGTACCTTCATCATCTTTAGACACTTTTATGTGAGTGCCCATAGGAGTCTGAGGTGATTTTGCATTTTCAAGACCAAACTTTTTAACAAGGCTTCTAGCATATTTACTTTGATGCAAAAAGATACCATCTTTACCTTGCTTCACTTGAAGACCCAAGAAGTAAGAAAGTTCACCTACTAGACTCATCTCAAATTCAGAAGACATAAGCTTAACAAAGTGATTGACCAGTTTCTTCGAGGTTGACCTGAAGATGATGTCATCTACATATATATGAACTACCAGCAAGTCTAAATTAGTCTTCAGTGCAAAGAAAGTCTGATCAACTCCCCCTCGTTTGAACCCCTTCTCCATTAGGTACATAGTATGTCTTTCATACCAAGCACGAGGTGCTTGTTTCAGACCATACAATGCCTTCTTGAGTCTGTAGACACAATTAGGGTTATTAGGGTCTTTGAACCTTTCTGGTTGCTTCACATAGGCTTCCTTGTGCAATATTCCTGTAACGCCCCGCTTTGATTTTAAAGAAATTCTGGACTTTCAGAAAAATCAGATTAAATTTTTTAAAATTTATTTCAAACCTTTGTGGCGTTACTTATTTATTTCAAATCATCTCCATAACATAATATCAATTCCATAATATAAATCATCTAACTCCCAAAACGGGATTCACAAATCCACAAATCATCCATTCACCCCAATCGGGTTCCAAAAATAAAACACAAGTTTCAAGACATAACAATGTCAACGGGGCATCTCCCCAATAGTGTTTCAACACTTCACAAAATCTCAGAGTTCGAAAAAAATTCATCAATCATAAATAGTCATAAATATGGCGGAAGCATAACCAATAAATACTTGGTCTCATAGACCAACTACCACTCGCTTATCTCCGCCGTCGTACCCGCCTTGCTTAACCTGAAACGTTAATTTCAGGTGGGGATTAGCACAGTTGGAAATCGTAGTGCTCACCACTATGCATCAAACATTAATCAACATAAAAAGCAGTAATCATAAATAAGTCAGGTATGGTCGCAGCATGTATACGAATCAATTAATTATCCCATCTCCTATCCCAGAGTCAACCCTCATGTGCACGCCTATGCATAGACTACTGTTGATACTCGATTCGAACGCTAAATCCTACGCCTTGGTCTTACAACGATGCCCAGCCAGTAGGAGTAATCCACCCCGCCAGCCAAGACCTACGAATTGGTCTTACAAACGTGGATCAGCAGCCGATGGCCCATGCCCCGGTCTTACGGCCATACATAAATAAAGGACACTACCTATCGGGTATGTTCTATAGCTACGGGGATAACCGTTCGGCGGCCGGTACAGCTCACATTGAAGGCTACAAGGTTTCCATACATACATTGATCATACCACAAATTATACATTTATAACATTTACAGCATAAGAAGTTTTAAATAAAACCCACCTGGTAACAATAGGAGATAAAGCACAACAATTGATTGGAAGGCGAGCTCGACTCGTCAAACACCTACATTTATTAAAATAATCCTATGAATAACTATTCCACACATGGGTTCACTCATTTCGACATTCATGTGATCAGACCGACTCATATAGTTCATATAAGCAAGCAATGAAAGACAAATTTGATTTTTGAAAACACATAAATTTCCAAAACATAACCCGCGCAGCGATTTTGAAATCGACACCATTGACAGCACATAATTCAACATATGAAACAAGGATGCTGTGAAAAATCTGAAAACATATAGTGGACAGAACCTCAGTATATTCAATATAAATGGAGCTACAGACATGCTATTGAGGAAATTCAAAAACCAAAATGTAGCTAACTCAAATATAAACAAACGTTGCTGAAGGCCACATGGGCAGATAAGGACAACATCAACGAGTTTAAACAAAAAACATTTGGGTCATAAAATCTGTCGAATATTTAATTCAATTTACAAACAGCACCTCAGTAATTATAGTCTAAATCATGCTATAGACCTCCAAGTGACCAGTTTTAAAAACCCATGGACAGCCAAGAGAGACATAGCAACAATTGTCATGAAGACCACTTTCACATTTGAGCATGTTAGGACATCAATTTCAGACCAAACATTAACATCATATACACATCTGATTTCTAGAAAAACTGCTTGCACAACATGTTTATAAAAACCACACCTCATGCTACACTTATCATATTGACATGCTTCTTACCTTGTTAGAAACTTACGAGATAGTTCTACAACTTACGAGATAGTTCTACACTTATCATATTGACATGCTTCTTGCCTGTAGTTATACAACTTTCATTTAGAAACTTACGAGATAGTTCTACAACTTTCATTTAGAACTATAGGCATATCCTACTTCAATCTAACACAAACCGAGTTACAGTCATCATATTAGCAAGAATTGTACCTCATCAGAAAGCTTAGAAAAAGACCAATAACTTTCATGAAGATCATATTTTTATTTGAGCACATTAAGATGAAATAAACAGACATAACATTCAACACACACATGCTGCCAGGATTTGTTAAAAACTGCTTGCGCCATAAATTTGTAAAAATCTTAACTCTCTCAATTAAAGTCAGATTTTCGAAATTCCAAAGCTCATGGAACCAAAACAGAATGGACTTCAAATCATAAGAATGTATTTTCAAAATACGAGTTTTTCATGCTTTTTTAGAGGCTTGACAGAGGCTGTAAAATTTACGAATAACATCACATGACTGACACGTATATAGAAAACCCTAACATAATATTATAAGAGAACTCTCATATATTCATATATCAATCACATATATACGTATCTAAAATAGGTCCCGAGTAAGCCACCCATTACCGTACTCCAAAGGGGAGAGGCGAAAATGGGCAAGGGGGGTGGACACGGGCTCGCGAACGGCTACTTGACGGTGGACGAACAACTGTTGTTTGTCGAAAAGGGATGTTTGTTCGGATCGCGTGGCTGCTGGTGCACTCGGCTTTGGGAACCTGCTCGTGAACTTCTTCTCTGGTTGCAGGTGCACGAAGATGCTGCCCGTGGACCGAGAGGGTTGAGGGAACTCCGCGATCAAAAGGCTAGAGAAATAGGAATTTTGGCGATGAAGGATGATGAACTTGATCGATTAAGGATGAAGGCAAAAATCTGATATTATGGGCGAGAAACAGGTTCTGAGAGGACGGATTTGAGTGATATACTACTGCTTTGAAACCCTCCCTAATTGCACGCAAGGAGTTCAAAAAAAAAAAATTATATTTATGCTATTACTTGGAAAAAGGAAAAGAAGAGTTGTGATGGAATCAAATCAAATTCTTGCTTATTTTAGGGGACTATGCGTGTTAATTGAGTTGGAATTAAGCTCCTAAAATCTGATTCTAATCACTCAAATATACCAAAATACTTTAGGAAATTGTTTGATTTCTAGATCAAATAAATGGGAGCCATGATTTCAAATATATGTGGGCTCTTATAATGCTTAATGGTGTGAGCATGCTTTTGAAAAAAAAAAAAGGTTAAGGAATTATCTTAAAGGCTTAAGAAAACCCCCATCAAATCTTACAAATTATGCTTGGGATAATTAGCATAAATTGGAGCCGAAAATTAAATAAAAAGGCCCGGTTTGAAATGATCACAAAGGCCGATTTTATGAGGAGGAAATTACACCCCCACTAATAGAATTCATTTTAATATTATTTTTGAATCCCTTATATTTTTATTTATAAAATTACATAAATAATGAAGAAAATTTTCAATTGTACCTAACATGCTACCAGAACCGTTATCAAGGCTTTAAATGCTAACGAGAGATTTTAGGGGAATTACAGATATACTTAACAAAAAAACAGGGAACAAATAAGTCAACCACAAAAAAGGGGACCGTCTCCTACCTTTTTTTCTTTCAATCTCCTGCAACAAAACCTGCTCAAGAAACTTTCCCCAAATCAAGATTCAATGGCCAAACTTCCTATACCTGCTTGACATATTAAATATTTGTTATTAAAGGTACGACGGCTCGCGGGGTCTGCTCGCGGCGGTTCTAATCGCCGGAGGAAGAGGCTGGTCGCGGCGTCTGGTCGTGACAGGGTTCGCCGGAAGCCGCGCAATTCACGCGTGAACAAGGGTCGCCGGAATTCTTCGCGAGATGGAGGCGGAACTGGGCAGCGACTCACGACGTGGGAGGAGAGCGGGTCGTGGCGTAGCTGGGGTCTCGTCGCCGGCGGGGCGGCTGTTCCAAGTGGAGTACGCGATGGAGGTGGTGAAGCAGAAGAGTTCGAGACGATGGAAGAAAAAACTGGAAATTGGAGACTGTGGGTGGGGGCCATGAACTAATCGGGTATATGTTGTGGATATATAGGGTATATGTTCTGTATAATATAAGGGCTACCTTATATGTATGTATAGTTTTATATTGATAAAGCATAAACCGATGATTTTTTATTTTTTTTTGGTATATGTATGGTTTATACTCAGTATATTTTCTGTACAAATTAGTTTATGTTTGGTATATTAGTTATGTACAAATTAGTTTATGTTTGGTATATTAAAAGATTTTTTTGTTGAAAACAACATATATATCATTAATGAAAAAACTATCAATTCACGTACATTTCAATTAACGTTAAACTTAAAAAAAAAAAAAGAAGACATAAAATTTTCATGAAAGACATGTTTTTCATTGCAATATATACTGAATATATACTAACATAAATGCAACATATACCGATTTGGACAGCCGCGTGAATTAGAAGACATGATTTTTTTCATTGCAACATATACTAATATATACTAACATATACTATATGTAGCGGGTATACACAGTATTTTTTCATTATATGTTTCGAGTATGAAAATTTATATGTTTCGGGTATATGTTACGGGTATATACAGTATATATCAAAGTTATACAACACACATATACATAAAATATACACTCGAGATTCTAGTAATTCAAGCCAACCGGGACACATATATACATAAAATATACTTTAAATAACACTCGAGTTTTAATCGTTTCTCAAAATCGATTTTAGAACCCATATATACATAAAATATACTTAAGATATACACTTGGCCGGAAAGGACTATCACGGTGGAGGGAAAGCGGGCCGCAGAGGCTGAGGACGACGGCTCGCGGGGTCTGCTCGCGGCGGTCCTAATCGCCAGAGGAAGAGGCTGGTCGCGGCGTCTGGTCATGACAGGGTTTGCCGGAAGCCGCAATTCACGCGTGAACAAGGGTCGCCGGAATTCTTCGCGAGATGGAGGCGGCGCTGGACAGCGACTCACGGCGTGAGAGGAGAGCGGGTCGTGGCGTTGCTGGGGTCTCGTCGCAGATGGCTCGCGACTGGTTCTAATTGAAATTCGCAGGTCTAATTGAGGATACTTGCCGGCGGGAGGCTCGCGGCGTCAGATTTGCAGAGACTCGCGGCTTGCTGCTCGCGAAGAGAGATGAGTTCACGGTGGAGGACTTGCGAGCAGACGACGGTCGGGTGTACTGCGCGGCGGAGGGGCTCGTCGGCGATTGGCCTGCGCGTCGTTCAGAGGATGGCGGAGGAGGAGATGACGAGATGATGGTGATGGTGTCGCGGCGCGTCTGGGTGTTCGCAGCTTGGAGATCGCCGGCGACGGGAAAGATCAGAGGAAGGGATGATGACGATTGGTGGTGAGTTGAACAGCGAGAGAAAAAGAGAGATGGTGGCGGGTTCTCTTTTCCGATCGAGATTGTCGGAAAACTGGCCGCTCTACTTCTTGCCGAGGAAGGTCACAGAATTTTGGGAATTTTGAGAGGAATTTTTTTGGGAGAGGAACGACTTTGCTGCGTGATTTGTTCCTATCAAAAAGGAATGAAGATATGTAACTTATTTTTTAGGCACTAATGTAATTAATTATTGTCTATTAGGTATATACACAATTAATTATGTATGAATGGTAATTTTGTAATATTTTAATAATCATGTAGGATAACTGAAAATTTCCCTTTTATAAGCTTAATGGGGCTAGAAAAATGAGGCTAGTAAGGGTCTCGGAAAAATTATAAGGAGAAAACGGCTAGAATTGATCGGCAATTAAAATAATAATAATAATAATAATAATAATAATAATAATAATAATAATAATAATAATAATAATAAAGCAAAAATAAATAATCTCAATAATTCATAAACAAAACGGGGCATTACAATTCCATTCAGAAATGCCGACTTTACATCCATCTAGTAAACAATGAACGTCATTAGACACGCAATTGGCAGAAATATACGTACCGATTCAAGCCGAGCAACTGGAGCAAAGGTTTCATCAAAGTCCACTCCTTGAGTCTGAGTGTACCCTTGTGCAACCAATCTGGCCTTATTGCGAGTCACATTACCGAACTCACGGTTTTTTATGAAGATCCATTTGTTTCAGATAACATTTCCAGATGATGGTTCTGGAACGAGTTCCCAGACATCGTTTCGGTTGAATTGCTCCAATTCTTCTTGCATGGAAGTGATCCAACACTCATCCTTTAGAGCCTCTTTAGCATTCTTAGGTTCTGTTAGTGAGGTGTAGCATGCGAAGTGAGAAATGCTCATCAGTTCTTTTCTGAGCAACACGATTTCCTTGTTTCTGTCAGCAAGTAATCTTTGGGTTGAAAACAGTTCAGACCTCAGACATTCAATCGTCTGAGACTTCTCCAGTCCATCTTGCTTGGATAGTTTGACGCTGCTTTCAAGAATGGAGGTTCTACCCTTTGCGGTGTCCATCTCATTCTCTTTTTGATAGGTAAGAGAAGAGGAGGACTTATCCATTAACATCCTATTCGTCTTGGTCAGCTTCTGATCCTCACTTTAAAGCTTCTTCATAGCCTCCGATGCTTGTACGCTCCATGGCTAACAAGTGAACTGGATCACTACACATGTTGCAGTTGGCTTCATCCTCTGATGTTTCAGATTCTTCCATCCCTTGTTCAAACTTTGTCGTGGCATGAGAGGTAGTGAGACACATAAACTTCTTTACAGAAGAATGAATTGCCATGTTGCTTGTGTGTGATGAAGGTTCGTCAGTTCCTTCGTCATCTGAATCTTCCCAAGTGGCCTTAAGTGACTTACTCTCCTTTTTTAGATTGGCACATTCAAACTGAAAATGCCCAAATCCACGACACTCACGGCACTGATCCTTCTCAATCCGTTGTGTGTCCGGTTTTGAAGGGAACACACTGTTTTTCTTGTCTTGAGTCGTGATCTTGCTAGGATTATTGAACTTCTTTCCAGGGAACTTGTTCCTATATAGTTTCTGACTCATCTTGTCGTAGTTCCTTGCAATTAATGCAAGAGCCTCTTTCAACTCGTTGTCATCCACCATTGAACCTTCCTCTGCATTGTTGTCTTCCTTCTCCTCAATTACAGCAGCTTTGAGAGCAAGTCCCTTGTTTTTTACCTTGTCATAATTGTTGTTGATTTCAAACGTTCTCTGATCACTAAGAAGTTTATCCACATCAAGCGGCGCCATTCTCTGAAAGCTTTCAAGAGCCGTAATCTTCTCTCTGAACCTAGGCAAAACAGTCTGCATGATCTTTTGTACTTGACGATTTTCAGAGATCTCTTCTTCTAGCATTCCACTTTGATTTACCAGATCACAAAAATCTGGCATAGTATATCTCGATTGTTTCTTCATTCTTCATTCTGATCTCATCAAATTCACACGTTGAAGCCTCGATGCTTTGACTGCCGTCGAACCTTCAAACTGATGTTGTAGAATCCGCCAAGCATCTTTCACTGTCTTGCATTGAATTATCATTTTGTGTCTAATTTGATCGAGTGCCATCATGATGACGTATAAGGCTCGATAGTTCGCTTCTTCTTGCAATCTTTCAGCGTCAGTCCAGATGTCTTTTGGTTTAGGTACATTAGTCGATGAAGATTCTTTCCCTTGATCTGGTGCAGCCTCCGTGACTGGATGTTCCCAACCATTTTCAACACTTTCCCAAGTGCCTTTTCCCAGAGATCTTAGAAAGATCGTCATCATTGATTTCCAGTATGAATAATTTGAACCCTTCATATGCGGAGGCCTAAACATCGATCCACTTTTCTGATTCATGATTGCCCAAACCACACGTCCTTAGATCTTTTGCAAAGTATACGAAAACCCGCTCTGGTGCCAAATGAAGTTTGATACTTGTAAGCCAAGTATCTAGAGTTGCATACAATTTAACCAAACAGAATTAAATGAAGATTCAAACAATTGCGGAAGCAATTTCACTGAAAATTGAACCTTCAGAAGAGCGACTCACTCTCCCTTCGGATCTCTTTCATTAATGCAACCAACTCACTCATTCTTCAAGGGTTTACAGTATAGACTCCCTCTACACTCTACTTGAACAATGAATTGCACTACTACTTATCCGACCATAAATCCCTTGTGGTTTTTCACGTTTGAATCCCTTAAAACTAAAAACAGAGTGAACCTCCGAACACTCTGTATTTTACCTCTCAACAATGATCACACTCACTTACAAAAATCACTCATAGAAAATAAATAAATTCTCGATGGCGGATACATAAAACTATCTTTTCAAGAAAAGAGAATGTAAAAAAAAGTACTCCTCGTGTTCTCGTCGTCCTTTTATCCTCATCCTTCATATGGTAAGTTCTTTCTCTAGCTTCCCAGCTAAGTCATGTCATATTATGGAAAGTCCAGGTTGCTTGATCTGATCTCGCGCATATTGGTAGGAAGTTATATATGGAATGTTCATCATGATCCCATTTCATTTGACCTGCTACAATAAAGCATGTATATGTAATAACCAATAAGCGAAGTAATAGAACCTAATCCAAGTAATTTAAAATAAACTTCCCTTAAATATCTTTGTGAAGTCTGAACCTGATAGCAGATGAAACTTCGTTGATTTACTGCCAATCTTTCGAACTTACAAATATTATTTAATTATATTGATAATATTAAGAATAGTGGGGTCGAATTAAAGTTGAGTTAAATTAGAGTTTTCATTGGATTCTTTTTAGTGACTTAATATCCAATCACACCCTAAGGTTAGGTCAATACTGGACTAAGGTTCACTTGGCAAGATGACCTCGTCCAACTAAGACACTTATATCGATTGCCCTTGAACCATTTCACCCCCAACTCTATTTGTTTGATGGTGGATTTGTCATTCTAAGACATTGTCACCACAAGCCTTTGATCATCATTTCTTCTATTGCTATAGTTTAAATATAAAGAAGGAGTCCCAATACCTCACGTCTCATAATCGTGCAAACTTTCTTTGCGATCTCCCTTCTATCATCTCGTCGTGGAGAACTAAGTTCTTTATGTGAAACCACCCCCATTTCCTCTGATTTTTCTCCCGAGTGGATCGATGAGTGTCTCGTTCATTTGAAGAAACAAAAATCCAACCAATAATGGAATGATCTGATTGTCGAGTGGAACCAGGTCCCTTTCACTGTCACGAAGCTCGCTTCTAACGCATGATTGCGGTACCATTGCGGTATTACATCAGTAAAGACCCCCCCTCCCCCCCTCCTCTATGACGTAGGCATACTTGTGAAATCTCAAGAGAAATGCGCAGATATATCTCCAGCTCCCAATTTTACCAACATATTTTCTCATTACGTGCAAATGGGGAAGATGAGCATTTATTATTCTCATGCAGTACAAAAGACAGCGTTTAGTTGCTAAAATAAAGCAAAACAAAAAGGGCTAAAAAACGATTTCGATCTAACTAAAAGAAACGTAACTAAAGGAATAAATGTGTGACAACTTTGAATGCCTGAACCATAATAGAAATAATAGACAAAATAAAATGGAAGGCTTGATCATCATCTTGCATGAAGAACACAACACCAAATACATCTACACCAACAACCCCCCCTCCCCCTCAAGATGAGCTGAGCTGAAACATGCTCATCTTGGACAAGAGAAAATAAGCTTGAGGCCCTGGCACGATCTTGGTGACGACATCCACAAGTTGAAGCTTGGACGAAAGATGCATATGTAGAACAAAACTAGACTTATATTTGTCTCTAATGAAGTAAAAATTTATCTCAAGATGCTTCGTCCGCTTTTGAAACACGGGGTTAGTTGAGATATGAATTGAAATTTTGTTGTCACACCATAGAGCTATAAGACATGGAAGATGAATGCAAAAATCTTGCAAGATCTAAATAATCCTTAAAAGCTCCGAAACTATGGTGCTCATGGCCTTGTACTCATCTTCTACTGATGATCTTGACACTATTGTTGCTTCTTGAACTTCCAAGAGATCAAACAACCACCCAAGAACACACAATAACCAGCCACTGAGTGTCTATTGTCCTTACAAAAGGCCCAATCTACAACACAATAGGCAGTTAGTGTAACGTCCCGAACATTTTTAGAATTATTGAGCTCAACTTTATTTCCATAAATAGCAAATTTTAATTCTTCCGAGTTTATTTACTTGATGCATTTAATTATTATTATTATTGGCATTAAAATGATTTAGAAATTCTAAGTCTAAGCCAAGGAGGATCCGTTCGATTTTTTATTTCGAAAATTAAATTTATTTAGTCCAAGTATCGGTGGAGCCGAGCCTTGACCCAAGCCCATTAAACTCACGGCCTATTATCGCACCTACCAAGCCCATTTCGCTCGCGAACCCATGAGTCCGGCCCAAGCCAATGACACGGCCCAAGGGCCCAACAAATCCGAGCCTAACAATTAATTTGTGAAGCCCTAGTCACTCTTATTTTATATGGCCCAATTTCCTTTAAGCCTCATTTATATTA